GCCTCCCTCATCTGGTCTTGGGGGGTTGGGCAGTGAGATGGCTTAGCCAGTAAGGGCGTGTGCTGCCAAGCCTGAAACCACACACACATCCACAATAAGTTAAAGTAAAAAAAAAAAATTCAGTGGGCAGAGGGAGACATGTCTATAACCAACCTCGATTACTTAAGCCCGTTTTTCAAGGGAGAAATAACTTCCGACCCTTACTTATGAGGCAGAGGCCAGACTCGTCCGTGTTTCTTGTAGGACGTTACGGAGGCCCAGATGGAAGCCGTGAAGCAGTGCTGTATACCAGCTTGCTCTGCATGGCTTTCTTGCCCATATGCATTTGATGCATGATGAAGGCATTTTCTCAATTGAGGTTTCCTCTCCCCAGATGACCCTAGCTTGTCCAAGCTGACAAAAAAAACAAAAACAAAAACAAAAACAAAAAACTACCCAGCATAGTCACATTGCCAGCTAGCTGTGATAGCAGCTCAGCCCTCAGGGTTAACCCCAACCATTGTGGAAACTCACAGCCACCGAGCCTCTTCCCACTGACTCAGAGGCTCCTGGCTGTCAGAGCTCTGAATCTTCGGCCACCTTCACCCTGTGTCCTTGTTCCCAGGGTCGGGAAAGGAGAAGTGACATTGAATGTCACATGGGAGAATGAGTGACTGGGCTAAGGGACTGCAAACCAAGTTCCTACTCCACTAAACACCAAATGCTATAAAGATTCCTCAGAGCCACGGAGGAGGAGGAGGACACGGGAGGCTGTGCAGCGCTCCTGCACACTCACAGAGCTCTGCCTGCCTCTGCTGCCTGGGTGCTGGAATCAAAGGCTTATGCCACCATGCGCAGCCCCGTTTCTTACTGCTGTGTGTGTGTGTCCACATATACCGTGCCACACATGTGGAAGTCAGGTATCCACCATGGTGTCTGAGGATTGCACTCGTCACCAGGCTTGCAGGGAAATCATGTTTACGTGTGAGGCGTCCCTCCACCTCGTGGTTGGCTTTTCGTTATCACTGGATAGATAGCTCAGGCTTTTCTGGAGCCCACTGTGCAGTTAGGCTGGCCTCTGGCTTGTGGAGATCTTCTTGCTTCTAGATCCTGAGTGTTAGAGTAAAGGAGCGAGTCACCATGCCTAGCTTTGATTTTTTTTTTTTTTTTAATTTGGGGACAGGATCTAAATTGCCCAGGTTGACTTGAACCTTTGAGCCTCTTGCTTCAGCTTCCACAGCAGCTGGGATGACCAGCCAGAACACTAAGCCAGGCTAAGACACTGTCCTATTTTAATTCTATGATTTAATTTACTGTGATAGCATCTCTCTCTATAGCCCATTCTGGCCTCTGACTCAAGATAATCCTCCTATTTCAGTCTCCTGAGATGGGATGACAGGTGTGTTCAATCATGCCTGGCTTTTGACTCCTTCTAACCACAAGGTTAGAAGACCAGCCATCATGTCTCATGGTATATTCATTTCTCTTTTTAGTGATGTGCTAAAAGCAACTCAAGAGAGGAAGGGTAGGGAATGGTGTGTGCGTGTGTCTATTTTAACTGTTTTATTGGGGTTCTTATGCCTCTACCTTCCCTCTTCATCCCAATCCCTTCCAACACCCCAACACAGACAGGTAGGAAAGAAAGAAGGTTAGTAGGGAGAAGGGCCGTTAGCTACTCTGGCTGATTAGGGTCTTTGGGTCCCTTGGGACAAGTCCAATCTTTGTTTCAACTTCTCATCAAACTGCATCAACAGTAGCAGCAGGGGAAAGCAGCAGCCTCCTTCCTCAGAGCCCCCCACCCCCCCACCAATCTCTCTCTTGGCTCTGGCACTGTTCTCTCTCCAGAGTCCTCAGAATAAACTATCTGCAGCTGGCAAAGAGCCCCTCTCAGAACCCGCATGAGGCAAATAGTCTGCTGCTGTGGACAGTCTGAACCAATGCCATATCCTACACCTGGGACTGAAACAAAACCATGCTTACATAACACAACTGAGTTTTTAAAGACACCAGAACCTCTACAATGGTACCGGCCGGCATTCAGGGTCTGCCCTCCCACCTCCATTAACCTAATCCAGACAGTCCTTCACACATGTCCCAGAGGCTTGTTTTCCCATTGATTACAAATCCCACCTAGAGCCTGGCTCTAGCTTGCACCAAGCTGACAAAAAGTAGCCAGGACAACTACTGAAAACAAGAGTTTTGCAGCTGTGTCTTCACCATTACTGGAAACAAGAGAGCAAGCCACAGGGTAACACGCATGATGTGTACAAACTGATTTTATCCTCTGCACTTTTGGGTTTGTATTTTGTGTTTGTGTGTGTGTGTGAGAGAGAGAGAGTGCCAGGGTCTCACACTGTAGCTCAGGTTAGCTTTGAACTCATCATATAGCCCAGGCTGGCCTAGAACTAGCAAAGATCTTGCCTCTGCTTCTGAGTGCTGGGATTTTAGGCTTGAGCCACTACTCGGATTCCTGAGTTCCCTGTCAGCTGAAGCTGCCAACACATAGAAACCATCTTCAGGAAAGGCAGTTCCAAGAATGACACTGCCCCCTACAGGACATCTTGGAGATCCGACCACTCTACTTAAATACCTCAAACTGTTTAAGGAAACACACTAAAGAAATGAGTCTTGTTCAGGTCCCCAGGGACAAACACTTACCAGACACAACAGTTAGCACACTTCCTTCATTCTCTTCAAAGCTCGGACAACATGCTACAGTGTGTGTGTGTGTGTGTGTGTGTGTGTGTGTGTGTGTGTGTGTGGCACAAATCAGTTCTCTCCAAATGTGTTAACTTCCAGGAATCAAACTCAGGCTGGCAGGCTTGGTAGGAAGTGCCTTTACATGCGGAGCCGTTTTGCTGGCCAGGAGCCTTTAATTAAGTGGAGGGGGAAAGGAAGTGTCCTCACAAACAGGACCTATGTTTGTGAGACTCTGCATATGGACGACCACAGACCGGTTATTTCTGAAGCACCTGGCCCAGTTGATGTCATAAGGACATTGTCAGGACCCTAAAGGCCCCTAAGGGCAGGCCAGGTGAATTGCCTGCACAACAGCTTCTTTCATTGCTCTTCATCTTATATATCGAGACAGGGTCTCTCTTAAGCCCTGTAGTAGCCAGCTTGCCCTGGAGACCCTCTGTCTCCATCTCCCGAGGGCTCAGATTGCAGGCGGGTAACCACAGCCACCTGTCATCTATGCAGGTGCTGGGGCTTCAAGCTTGCCTGGCAATGCTTTGCCTGCTGAGCCATCTCTTCAGCCTCCATTCCATGGTTATAACGGCCCAAACTCAGACCTTGATGTCTTTCCTATGAGCCTCCTCAGCCTTCCTCCTCTGGGAGGCAGCCCTTATGAAATCTACTCTCTCCTCCACTCTGCCACCTCTGCCTATTCAACTCCTCCTGGGGCAGCAGCATGCACACCCCAAGCTTCTTCTTCTCAGGTCACCTGGCGACTCTGGCACCATCAAATGCCCTGAGCCCCACGTGCCCCTCTCTGCTTCACAGAGCCTTGTAAAGGCTCCCTTCATGTTCATACTCTGCACTGCAGGGAATACGAACTTGTGCCTCCCACCTCCAATCCAGAAACAAAGTTTGGCATCATACTTCAATTTCTAGATGTATAAAGTTCTGAGGCCACAATCCACTCAACTACTGCAACGGCTTTCAAATTATCCTTCCAAATTATCCTCTGCTACCCCATCTACCCTCCCTCCAGGGTGGCTTTAGAGGTGTGTGTTTCGGTCGGGGGTGGGGTCTTTGTGGCCCAGACTGGCCTCAAGCCCAAGCTGTAACTATACTAGTCAGGGTTCTCTAGAGTCACAGGATTTATGGAATGAATCTCTGTCTCTGTGTCTGTGTGTGTCTCTCTCTCCCTTTCTGTCTCTGTGATATTTATTGGACTGACTTACAGGCTACAGTCCAGCTAATCTAACAATGGCTGGCTGTGAACAGAAAATTTAAAAATCGAGTAGTTGCTCAGCCCCACAAGGCTGGGTGTCTCACTGGTCTTCTGGAATCCTGAAGTAGGCGCCAACGCCAGTGAAGGGATGGATGTGGCAGCAAGGTGAGGGCAAGCAGGCAATGAGCAAAAGCTTCCTCCTTCCATATCCTTATATAGACTTTCAGCAGAAGGTGTGATCCATATTAAAGGGCACCTCAGTCTTCCTCTCTGAGAGGCAGCACTCAGGAAATCGATTCTCTTCCACCTGTGCCTATTCCACTCTTCCCACCTCAAGATTTGGATTAAAAGCGTGTGTCTTCCTGCCTCAAGATCCGAATTGAAGGCTTGTGTCATCCAGCCTCAAGATCAGAACCAAAGGCTGGGATCTTCCTGTCTCAAGGTCTGCATTAAAAGCTTATGTCTTCCTGCCTCAAGGTCATGACTAGACGTGGAGTCACACACTCCAAACCAATCAGAAAAATCTCTCGCAGAAAATCTCTTAATTGTGGCACACTCCAGATACAGTCGACCACTGAGAATAGCCAATCCCAGTAGCCAAGAATGCCCTTGGATTTCTAACCCTCCTATCTCCATCTCCACCTCCTTGGTGCTACCAGCACCAAGGGATAGGACTGGAGTTTTTGTTTTACATTAGCACATATTAATCATACATAAGGTTTTTTTCACGTATGTATATAATGTAGTTGACCATATTCACGCCCCTTCTTTCACTCCCGCTAACCCCATTTCCTTTTCCTAACTAGCCTCTTCTAGGTCTAAGATATCTGAGTGGGCATGGAGGTTAGAAAAACCCGGGTGCACTTCCGGGGGGGAGGAGCGGTAACTGGGGAGAAGACAGATGAAACAGGTCCAGGAAGACGGTGGCCACAGGGACACTTAACGAGGGACACTACGGCTGGACGCACGGCGAAGAGCGGCCCGGACAGCCGCACTCCCGGGAACTCACGGGGGACTCCACGGGAGCGCATGCGCCTTAGCAGACGTCACACGTTCGCAGGGACCAGCAGTTGAAGGAGGCGGTGTCCACACTAGCTTAAGGAGTGGGCGGGAAACCAAAGCGCTGTTTCCGCTTCCGCCAGGGGCCGGAAGTTAGCGTCTCCCGGGTGAAGCGGCCTTAGCTGCAAGGCAGAGCTGGGACAGGTAGGTGTACGGTCTCGTGAGCGAGCGTTGGGCCGGGGCATGGCTCTGAGGATGGCCGTGTGGGGAGCCTGACCCCGGATCCCTCCAGCCGGGCGAACGGGCCGCGCCACCGAAGCCTGGGTGGGTGAGACGGACGGCTTTGCTCCTGGGTCGCGGTCCCTTCCCGCCCCAGTCGCCTGGGACACTGCGGCTCGTTCTCAGGCTGCGGTTTGCTGATGGGATCCTGGGGACACACAGACAGATTCGGGAAACTCACTGATTCGTTCAGCAAGTAGTTATTAAGTGCGTAAGGTACACCGGGCATGTGGGTGCTGGGGATGGAGCAGTGGTCAAGTGAGAGCTTTCCTCGGAGATTGCTGGACAGGGTTGCAGACGCCGGAGGACCTATAAGGAGTTTAGGGTGATCGTGAATCAGTTTGTTTTGGGCGCCGCATGCGTGTGTACAGACAGCTTGCACGAGTTGGTTCTCTCCTTTCACCGTGAGAATCCAGAGACTTGAACTCAGGCTTGGCAACCAGCATCTTTTCCTGCTGAGCCACCTTGCTTGTCCTGTCTTGAAATTTTTAGAAATCTTTTGTTAATCTTTCTATATGTTTATATAGTGTGTGTGTGTTCGGAAATTAGTTGGACAACTTGCGGATCAACTTCTCTGTTTCCGTTTTTACGTGGATTCCGGGGACCAAATTCAGCTTGTCGGGCTTGGCAGAAGTGCCTGTACCAACTGATTGAGGATAGACCAAGCTGGCCTAGGCAAGGTCTGTGATTCCGTTGTAGCTGGTTGCCAGAGCTAGGCTTGGAGGGGAAACAAACACAGCCGCCTAGGCAACTGATAGCTTGGGCTCAGGACCAGGCTACACTTGACCAACTCTTCCCGGTCTCCTGGGATCTGGCCTGCACTTTCCTCTTGCATTGCTCCCAAAGCTTCAGCCGTCCTTTCTGAAGTAAAACGGTGAGAAAACCCTTCATCTGCCTCAGACTCTTTGCAGATACATCTCTCTCCCTGGCTATCTTGGCATCAAAGCTGCCTTTTGTCATCCAGGCTTCATCTCAAATGACTCCAGAAGAAAAGGTTTCTTCAAATCCCCCTTCACTCAAAGTAACCTGGTCTCGGAAACTTGCATTTTACTCTAATAACCCCATAGCAATATTTAAGATTCACCCAGTTACGGGTTTTCTTGTTAGGAGCCTGTGACATTAATACAGATATTTTGAAGATTTATTTATTTGTATCTTGTGTGAATGGGCTATCTGGATTTGGGATTTCTGTATGCCACCCTGAAACCCACAGGTTGAGAACCTCCGTCCTAGGGCCTTATACATGCTAGGCTACTACCAGCCGGATTCATCCAGTTAAGAATGTTCGTGTTGTCCTGTGGTGGTGGCACATGCCTTTAATTATAGCACTCGAGAGGCAGAGACAGGTGGATGCCGAACTCAGATCTCCGAGTTCAAGACCAGCCTGGTCTACAGAGTGAGTTTCAGGACAGCCAGAGCTACACAGAGAAAGCCTGTCGAGTTTTCATGTTAAAGCTGTAAATATTTATTAGCAGGGATTTTTATTTATCTTGTATATAGATGGATGCTTTACCTGCATATATGTCTGTGTGCCTCCTTGTTTTGTTTTGTTTTGTTTGAGATAGTAGCTCTGAACTGGTTTTGTTGCCCAGGCTGGCCCCCGGCTGTCAGGGATCTGAAGCTCTGGGGTTACGGTGTGGGGTGGCCTACCACAATTAGACTCTGTCTCACTGTGCGCATAGCTCAGACTAGACTCCAACTTGTTAGGAATTTTCCACTCTCCTGCCTGAGTCTCCTGGGTTCTAGAACTTCTTTCTTTCTATGTTTTCTTTTTAAGATTTATTTACTTATACCGCTGAGGCATCTCTCCAGCCCCCTATTCTTTCTTCCTATGAGAGCCAGGTGTGGTGGCACTCACATGCCTTTCACCCCAGGCAGAGGCAGGCTGATCTCTATGAGTTTGAGCCTAGCCTGGTCTTCGCAGAGAATTCTAGATCAAGCAAAGTTGTACAGTGAGACCCTGTCTCAGTAAATACATAAGTAGCTGAGCGTGGTGGAACACATCTTTAATCCCCACACTTGGGGGGCAGAGGCAGGTCTACACAGTGAGTTCTAGACCAGCCTTGATTACAGTGAGACTGTCTCAAAAGGAGTGGGGGGACACGTAATGAGTGGTGGGCAAATGTCAGTGGAACTGCCCTCTCCATTCCTGGGCAACCCAGGAGACTCTTGGTCTCCCCTCCTGTCTTCCGGGGTGTGGCCTAGAAACGGTGGTTGGTCGTGGCCTGGTGGGTCTGGGGGTGCCATGGGGATCAGTGCCAGGCAGGAGGTCTGGTAGCTGCTGCTGCCTCCCTGCCCACCTGCCAGCAAGCTGCCTGCCTTCTTGGTGTCCCTCACACTGAGGCTGTCATTTCTCCACAGCCACCTCTTCTTAGGTGCTAAGCTTAGGTGTTAAACTTCTGTCTGAGGTATTTTTTGGGTTACTGTGGTAAAAGAGCTGACAGAATTGACTTGAGGCAAGAAGGGCTTATGTGGTCTCCACAGCAGGTGTGTCACAGTGGCAGGAGCCTGAGGGGCTGATTTTTATGTGTCCAAAGTCGGGCAGTACAGAACAGAGAATGTTGTGCTCACTAGGCCTCCTTTGTGTGCTGTCTTGAACCCCAGCCCAAGAATTGCTGCTGCCCTTCTGTAGGCAGGGTCTTTGTGCCCTTACTAACCTAATCTAGATGACTGTCATTCGCAGAGTCTCCCAAATGAGTCTAGGGTTCTGTCATGCTGGCAATCAGCATTAACTGTCCCCCGTGTCAGGACGGGGCACTGTAGCTCATGCTATAGTCTGAGCACTTGGGAGGTCGACGTGGGAGGACCCAGGCCCTCTACTCTTTGGGAAATGTAGGTCAGACCTGGCTATGTAACACTTTGTCTTTTCTTCTCTTTCTTTTTTCTTCTTACTCTGCTTACTTACTTTTTTTTTTTTTTTTTTTTTTTTTTTTTTTTTTGAGACTAGGTCTCTCTATGTAGCCTTGGCGCTGTCTAGAACTCGCTAAATAGACCAGGCTGACCTAGAACTCATAAAGATCCCACCTGCCTTTGCTCCCAACCGTTTATGTCCCTATCACAGCTTTGGGTAGCACCTTAGACTGTCTTGATTTGTTTTCCCTGTCTCACTGCCACTGTACTCCCACCCCCTAAAAAAACAAAACAAAACCATGATCCTGCTTGAGACTTTCTATTTGGGGTCAGGGGAGGCATACATCCTACATCCAACATGTGGAAGCCGGAAAACAAATTTTGAGGAAGACTCCTCACCTCAACTTGTTTCTGTCCCTTCCTTTATAGTCCAGACTAATTAGCCAGCAGGCTCCCAGCAATTTTCCTGTCTCCTCCAGCATCTGCTTGTCAGAATGCTGGGGTTACAGATTTGATCCACTGTACCTGGCTTTTTATTCGTCTCTGGATTTGAACTAGGGTTGTCAGGTTGGCACGGTTGGTCCTTTTGCCCACTAAGCCATCTTCCTGCCCTTGACTTCATCTTGGTCACTCTTTGGACTTAACTCTTCCATCCCTTAACAGCACACATCACAACTCTCTGTCCCTGTTTCTTTTAGAGCCAGCTGGCCACCCCTACCTTCCCTTGAGACCCTGAGCACAGAGATCTTAAGTGACCTACCTAGAGTGCACAGGAAGTTAGGAAACCAAGGTTAAAGGCTGTTCTCAGCCCTGCTGCCTAGAGTGTACAGAGCCTTGTACCCAGGGCCAGGAGCCTGGGTTCCTCAGGGAGGACCCTAGACGCCAGATTGTACGTCCATCTTCCCTTCTGCATAGGCTATTGCTGGGTGCCTCTGGCCTGCTTTAGAGGATGGAGGTGGAGAGTGGCCAGCTGCTGCCAGCCTCTGACCCCTGTCCTCCGCACCACAGGTTTCATCCCCTTGCAGCCATGGGACGAAGGAAGTCCAAGCGGAAGCCACCCCCCAAGAAGAAGATGACAGGCACCCTGGAGACACAGTTCACTTGCCCCTTCTGCAACCACGAGAAGTCCTGTGATGTGAAAATGTGAGTCGGTACCAGGTCAGGGTAGGCCAACCTCCTCCTGTGGGCCTCCAGGCCTCGGTTCCCCGCTTTGCTCGCCAGGGCCTCCCTGCTGGTGGGATCACCCCCACAGGCTCAGGGCTCGCTTCTCATACATCCCTCCATCTTGCCCCACTGCAGGGACCGTGCTCGCAACACTGGAGTCATCTCCTGCACCGTGTGCCTAGAGGAATTCCAGACCCCCATCACATGTATCCTTGGAAAGCTGCCTGATCCCTGGAGAGTAAGAGACGTGGGTGGGAGTCGGGGGTGTCCTGACCATCTAAGGGCTGGGGTCCAAAGACAAAGAACTGCCAGTCGCTCCTGTTGCTCTGGCCACTACCACCTAGGGGAAGGGACATTGTCTACTGAGTTAACACTGGGTGCGAGGAGGGCAGGGGTCCGATCGACCCTGGCATAGCAGGAATGTGCCCAGGAGAGGGCTTCCTTGCCACAAATCATCCTTGACCTATGTCTCAGATCTGTCAGAACCAGTGGATGTGTATAGCGACTGGATAGACGCCTGCGAGGCAGCCAATCAGTAGCGATGTCAAGGACCTGCCCCTCCGCAGCCCCCGACCTGGGCACCAATCCAGAGACATTCCAGGGCTCCAGGGTGTAGGTCCAGGGCTGTGATGGCCCTCCCTCTGTGTATATGGAGTGGATATGAATGAGTAGCCGTGTGTGTGGCTGCAGATACGGCAGTAGGGGTGGCCCTGACTGCTTGCAGGTAGGGTGGAGGTGAGCCTCGCTGGGCCCCACAGCGCAGCGCTGGTGGCACTACAGAACCTCATGCCTCACATGACTCTGAAAGCCTCCAAGTTGCCCCTTTCTTAGCCCCACCCCTGCCCCAAACTTTAGATTTCTGTCTTCTCTGGTGACAGTTTCCTGACATCCCAGGCAGGGACTAGCTGAGGGACCTCCTCAGCCACCTCACCAGCACCTTGCCCTTGGGGAACTGGACTTTGTCCTTCCCAGCCTCATCGTGCCTGTGGCCTAGGAGTCAAGGCAACTGACCTCCCCGGTGTTTGGCTGGGCTTTGCCAGGAAGCACCCTTTGCCTCTTCGTTTGCTTTTGTAGAAAAGGTAGGGGCTGGTTGGGGTACAGCTGTCACTCACAAGCCTGTCAATAAAGCAGCCAGTGCATACCATGGCTCTGTGTGCGTTCTTGGGTCATGAGGCAGCCTCAGTGTCAGAGAGCGAGGTGGGATTTGGGACTGAGACATTCAGGAGTGATCTTGGTGGCCCTGCGATGTATGGTTTAGTCGGTCTTTCTATTTTCTTTGTGAGGGCGGGATTAGATATCATACCATAGGCTGGTCTTGAACTTGCTGTGATTCTGAGAGTGGTCTTCAATTCCTGATCCTCCTCCCAGTCTCCCAAGTGCTGGGATTATATGTGCACCACACACCTAGTTCATTTGGTACCGGAGATCAAGTCCAGGGCTTTGTGCCTGTTAGACAAACACCTTTCCAAACGAGTTATGTTCTCGGTTGGTTGGTTGATGTTTGGGTTTGTTTTGTTTTGTTTTGTTTTGGGGGGGGGAGGTGTTGTTGACACAAGATTACTCTATGGACCAGGCTGGCCTCATGCTCAGAGATCAGCTTGCTTCTGCCAAAGTGCTGAGATGAAAGCTGGTATTTGAGAGAAGATGTCACTGTGCAGCCCAGAATCCTCTGAGATTCGTCCTTCTGCCCCAGTCTTGTAAGTGGCAGAACTCCAGAGGTAGAGTGCCACTTCAAGCACTGGGTAACTGGACAGTTCTGGGCACCCCCCCGCACTGTATGCATCACACACAATTATAATAATAACAAAATTGTTTTAAAGTAGAAAAACTGGGCCAACAAGATGTCTCAGCTGGCTAGTGTTTGCTGTGTAAGCTTGCCAGTAAGTTCTGTCCTCATGCCCTCCATGGTGGGAGGGGCTAGACACTCTGTGGCACCCACACACTAAAGGAATATGAAATTTTTTTTTGGGGGGGTGGAGGTTCAAGACAAGGTTTCTCTGTGTAGCCTTGGCTTACCTGGGCTAACTATAGGCTTGAACTCACAGAGATCTGCCTGCCTCTGCCTCTCAGAGTGCTGGGATTATAGGCATGTTCTACCCTGCCCAGCTGAATATTAAATTTTGTACACATTTTAAATAGGATTCTGTGTGTATGAGTGTTTTGCCAGGGTTGTTGAGGCCAGAAGAGAGTACTGGATTCCCTAGAACTGGACCTGCCATGTGAGTGCTGGGACAAACCAGGTCATCTGGAGGAGCAGTGAGTGTTAACTGCTAAGCCACTTCTCCAGCCCTTGCATTTTCATTCATTTGTCTGTGTATGTGTGTGCACGTGTGTGTACATGAATGTGTCCCTGGAGATCAGCAAAGGATGTTGGATCCCGTGAAGTTGTTACATTCACGAGCTGCTTGACATAGGTGCTGGGAACTGAACTCGTGTCCTCTGTAAGAGCAGAAAGTGCTTGTAGCTCCTGAGCCATCTTTCCAGCCCCAAATCAAAATTTTCTAAAAATAGAAAAAACTGAGAAACAGCACCTGAGCACCCTGTGTGTTCACAAAGACACAAAACGTCCAGACAGGTGACCCAAAGGAGGTGACGCTCCAAGGCTGTACCCACGTTGGATATCTTGCTGTGTGCTGGTAACCACCCTGTGAAACAGGCGCCTAGGTGAGAGGCGAGGCTGATGCCCAAGCTCCTGCAGCCTCAAATGCGCAGAAAGACCTTGAACCCAGGAAGCCTGGCTTCACAGCCCAGGTCCTAGGCTGAGGTCTCAGTGGTCCAGGCTGCTTTGGGCCACTGGGAGAGTAACAGTCACAGAAGGGATGTTTCCTAAGGGTGGTGTGGACTCCTGTAAGGCTGGAGGCAGTGACAGGATGGACATTCTTAATGGCAAGCATGTGAGAGCTCTGTGTGCCCTAAGAGGGTCTCAGGGATGACAGGAGACCTGAACCAAGTGACCTCAGCACCTCAGCCTGGCCTTATGAGCCTGGGAGCCTATGGTTTAGGGTACAGAGAGCTCAGCAGATGGCTGTCAGTAGAGTACTTCACCTGAGATGAAGTCCCTAGCATCCCTGTGTAACCCAAGCACTAGGGTAAGAGATGGACAGATCTCTGGAGTCCGTGGGCCTGCCAACCTCACCAAGGCAGTGAGCTCTGGGTTCAGGGAGGACCCTGTCTGCAAAATAAAGTGAAGGGTAACTGAGGATGCCATGACATCGGCGTCTGCCCTCATGCCCACACACATTTGTGTACACAGAAGAAACAACCTGGCATCAGTTGGTTCTGTGGCCACCCCAGGGCGGGTGACCAGCCAAGGCAGGCATTAAGCTGACCCAGGAGTGGTGTCTTACTAGGCTGGACTACCAGATCATTCTTAACCCCTGATTCACACTTGGGTGGTGGTGGAGAGGTTCCTGGATTGGGATCCTCAGTAGAAGGGGTACCCGGTGCTGACACCAGAGCCCTGTGTCACTGCCACCGTACCGGACAGGCCAAGCCTGGGCTAGGCTCATGCGCTCCACACAGCCTCCCCAGAGCAAAGGAGGCCAGGGTGCCTGGGTTGTGAGGCCAGTTTCTATGTGTCTGCACATGCAGGATTCCTGTTGTTTCCAAGGATACTGGCCTTAGCCTCTGTCCTGGGAGTGATGGTGTGTGAAAGAAGCTGCTTGGGGGCCCCTTCCCATTTTGTGAGTCCTGACTAGCTAACTGGTGGCTTTTGGGCCTTCTTCAAGAGAACAGGGTCTTTGCTGAAGCAAGGTGATGTCAGAGGCCTGTCTAGACTTTCAGGATCCTAGGCCAGCCTTGGGACTCAGTTTTGGGTTTTTAGTTTTTGTTGTTTTAAAAGACATTTATTGCTGGATGGTGGTGATCCTAGCAGGAGGCAGAAGCAGGCAGATCTCTGTGAGTTCAAGGCCAGCTGGTCTACAGAGCAAGTTCTAGGACAGCTAGGGCTACACAGAAAAACCCTGTCTTAGAAAAAAAATTTATTTGTGTGGGTGGGTGCATGCATGCTGTGGCAAGAGGTAGAAGACAGTTTAACGAGAGCTGGCTCTCTCCACCACCTAGGACCTGGGGCTCAAACCCAGAAGTTGTCAGACTTAACAGCAAACACCCTTACCAGTTGAGACATCTTACCACCCCATGGGATTCAGTTTTAAGAAGAAGGGAGAGGGGTTGGAGAGATGGTTTAGAGGTTAAGAGAACTGGTTGCTTGTCCAGAGGTCCTGAGTTCAATTCCTAGCAACCACATGGTGCCTCATGACCAGCTATAATGAGATCTGGTGCCCTCTTCTGACATGCAGGCATCCATGCAGGCAGAACACTGTATACATAATAAATATTTAACAAAAGAGAGAGAGAGAGAGAGAGAGAGAGAGAGACCATGAACTTAAGGCAGGCATACAGAAAGCCATGTCCCAAGGTTAACTACTCAACCAGGAACCATCACCCGGACCACGAGTACCGTAGTATCTATCAAATTTTTAAATTACATACTTATTTAAGGACAGGACACATGACTTGTGGGTCAGAGGTCGTGGCAGAAACCAATTCCCTTCCACCGTGTGGGTCACAAAGATTAAACTCAGGTCATCAGGCTTGGTGTCAAGTGCCTTTACTAGCTCTGAGCCATCTCACTGGCCCTGGTATCCTGGGGCCCCCATATGCGTGGGACAGTGATGGAGGTTAAGCCACGCTCCTCAACAGCTGGCCCTGAGACTCAGGTGATGTCACAGCCATTTATTGTGCTCCAGTGAAATAGAAAAAGAAAGTGCTCAAGTTACAAATGCCGCTGTCACATCCACGAACGCCAGTCACTGCAAAACCAAACTGTGTGTGTCCACTGCATTTCCAGACATGCATTCTGCTCCCGTTGCGGGAAAGGAGCAGGGGTCAGGCCAAGCCTGGGTTCTGGGGGCTTCGCTTGGAGGGTTTCTGGCTCTGGGAGGTACTCACTGTGAGGGAGTAAAGGGGGCAGCTGAAATAGCTTTACTCAGTGCATCCTTTGGGTGCTACTGGGGACACCCACTTCTGTGTTGGGCCCTGCCAGAGCTACAGGGATGAGGGGCCCCCTTCTTCCCACTGCTCTCCTCGGCCTGATCTCCCCAAACTGTAACCCTATAGGCAGGTGCCAGGGGGCTGGGGGACGCCATGCAGGAGGTGGGGTTGGCTGGGCCAGCTGGGTCCAGCCAAGAGCAGCAGCCAGCCCCTTGGGGGCCCCTAGGCAGAGTTGTAGTAGTTGTGCGGGTGGTGATTGTGGGTGGGCTCGCCCAGCTCAGGGTACTCTGGAGTCAGGCAGTACTTGGGGTCGTACACCTGGCGGGGCAGCCCGTACACCGTCATGCCCCTCTGTGAGGCCCCCTTGTTGCTGCCCATCTGCAAGCTGACGTTGAGTGTGTCACAGTGCTCCATGCCCAGGCCCGGCTCAAAGATCTGCCGCTTGGTGCCTGGTGCAGTCATGCCAGCCTGAGGAGGGAACAGTGGTCAGGCCACAGCGGGAGCAGCCCCCTTCCCCTCCCCCGCCTCACTAGGTGTCCCACCGACCACACAAACCTGGCTCGCGCCCTTGTTGGTGCCCATCTGCAGGCTTATGGTGGCCTGGTCCAGGGGCTGGTCTGTACCCAGTTTGGGGTCATAGAGGTGACGCCGGGTTCCATAGGCCGTCATGCCCTGCTGACTGGCAAACTTGTTGGTGCCCATCTAGGAAAGAGATTAATCAGTAAGGATTACAGGGTATCCCCTTGAGCCGCAAGAGCAGGAGCCAGAAACAGTGGAAATATTGCACGACCTGGCTCTGAGGTTCAAGGTGCGGCCCACCTCCTGTCAACTGGAATCCTGGCTGAAAGGAACTACAGCCATGTGTGGTGGCCCACAGCTGTAATGCCAAGAGGATCTGAAGGTCAGGCCCCGAGAGACAGATGGCTTGGTGGGCAAAAGTTCTTGCTTCCAAACCTGGTGACCTGAGCCCGACCCCTGCGACCACTTAGGAAAAGGGGAGAACCTGAGAAGGCAGAGGCAGGTGGATCTCTGTGAGTTTGAAGCCAGCCTGGTCTACGTGAGCTCCAGGCAAGCCAGAGACAGACAGCGAAATCTGGTCTCAGACAACAAAACAAATGAAAAGAGAAAAGGAGGTAGGGCAAGCGGGGGCTGCT